TAATATCGGGTGATCTTCATTCTAATACTCTTGTCTTTGGTCCTATGTTCGGAGGAGGTTCTATCATCAGACATTTGACTTCTTAGACATCCAGAAGTTTACATCTTAATTCTTCCTGCATTTGGGATCATGTCCATAAGAATCTCTGGATTTTACAGCCAAAATCTGTGGTAACCAGTCAACATCTTTGCCATGTCATCTTTGTTATTCTTGGAGGTCTTGTTTGGAGGCATCATGTGTGTTTGCTGTGTATACTGTAGGGGTAGGAAGAATGATACAAGAGCTGTTTCACGGGAGTTACAATCTTAATGCGCTTACGAACTGCTTACAGGGTCAGAAGAGTCTGGGAACTCCTGAACGGGTAGAATATTGTTTGAAACCATCGAGGAGCCCTAGCCTAAGCCCTTGGCAGGTTCTTGATCTTGAGGCTCTCGCCCCAGCAGAACCTGCGGCCACAGGCGAAGAAGGTCAGGGCTTCGGTGTTCAGAGGGTTTAGGGTTTAGGGTTTAGGGTTTAGGGTTATGTATTGAACCTCGAACCGTCAGACCCAAACCTCACACGCTAAGCCCAAGACCTACCACACCCCAAACCCTAACCCCTAAACCCGAAACCCTAAACCCTAAACCCTAACCCTCTTACCCCAGCAGCCTCATGAGCATTTTACGTTTGGAAAAGCAGCCGCGCAAGCACTCCAACTGCAGGGTGGGTGCACAAACAGGGAAAGTTTAGTGTCCGGAGGCTTTCCATAGGGCTTAGGGTTTCGGGTTTAGTGGGCATCTTCGTGTAGCTGAGTGAGCACACTTTACACTTTTGGGATACCATAATCCCCTCTAGAACTGAAAGTGTACCTTTTTTTTGGTGGGGGGGGGGGGGGGGGCTTATGAACTCAGCAACTAAGGCATGGGCCATGTAGGGTTCGGGTTTTCTTGCATTTGGGCTGATGCAAGACTCCAGTCCTGAGCACTCAGCCACTAGGATGTCCAGTAGTGCCCTTATTCCCTTTTTGGGGGCTCTAGGTTCCCCTATAAACCCTTTAAGCAAAAAAGGGCACCCTTTTTAATCCTAGGTTACTGGGCAACCTAGGCCAGAGAGTCCGCGCCCCTGTGCCGCAGCATGCAGAACCCGTCGAAAGCCCCAAACCCAACTCCTACTCTCCAAGCCCTGAAAAGCACCCTATAGATCCTATCTCTACCGCCTGAAACCCAAACGCTATAATCCCTATAAACCTTAAACCCTACCTAAACTCTATAAGCCCTCTAAACCTTTAAAACCTCCCTAAGCTCTATAATGCTCTCTAGTTTAAGCCCTCGAAGCCTTATGAACCCCAAAGCCCCACGGAGAGGAGATCGCGGCGATCAGATGGATGCGCAAAGAGAAGCTGCCCGGTTGGGCCGGAAGCTCCGAGGCGAGGGGTTTAGGGTTTAGGGTTTAGGGTTTAGGGTTTAGGGTTCAGGGTTTAGGGTTTAGGGTTGGAAGCTCCCAGGAGAGGGGGGGGGGGGGGGGGGGGGATTCGGTGCTGCAAGGTTTGGGGTTTGGGGCGTTTGGGGTTTAGGGTTTGGGGGTTAGGGGTTTAGGGTTTAGGGTTTATGAAGGTTCAGGGTTTATTGTTTAAGGTTTAGGGCGCACCCTGACTTCAAACCTTCTGCCCGAACCCCTTGCGACTTAGACGATTTAGGGCACAGTCTCTCTTCCTCCGAAACTTCAAGGGACTGAATGAGGGACCCTTTACAAGGGATCTTAGGCGTTATTCAAGTTGTTCTTTAGGTACTAATATATATAGGGGTTGTATATGGGTTATATAGGAGAACAAGAGTAAGGGTTCCTACTGTTTGATCGTCACTGGTCATTGAGGATTGCAGAAGCTTACTTAGCCAATTCAATACTTTAATTTTAAGGTTGTCGGGTGTCCTTATTTAGTGAGAATAATGCAATAATAACCTTTTTTCCCCTTGGTTAGTGGAGAAGTAAGGAAAAGTGGAGTGACTTGACAGCTGCGCAGTCAGAGCTGGAAGTCATCGGGCTGCAATCTTTTTTTCCAGCAGTCTCGATACCTGTGTCCAGTTGGATGCCCGAATTGCACCCTAAACCCTAAACCCTAAACCCTAAACCCTAAACCCTAAACCCTAAACCCTAAACCCTAAACCCTAAACCCTAAACCCTAAACCCTAAACCCAGCCGTTGCCAAAGGCCACACTTTCATTGGTCATGAATGCGCCCCCCTAAGCCCTAAACCCTCAGCCCCGAAACCCTAAACCCTAAACCCTAAACCCTAAACCCTAAACCCTAAACCCTAAACCCTAAACCCTAAACCCTAAACCCTAAGAAACCTCTGACCCACGCCTTTTATGGGCTTCCTTGGATCTGGAGAGTCCGCCTTCAGAAGTGAGGGCTTGTTCCAAGGTTCCATCCGACTGAAAGGTTTAGGGTTTAGGGTTTAGGGTTTCGGGTTTAGGGTTTAGGGTTTAGGGTTTAGGGCATTCCTTGTCCAGAATCTCGATCAGAAAGGGCTTGAAATGAGCTGGTCGCTCGCCCCTAGAGGCTGCCCTAAACCACGAGACGCCCTTTTAAACCCTAAACCCTAAACCCTAAACCCTAAACCCTAAACCCTAAACCCTAAACCCTAAACCTTTGGCTGACGAATCCCAGTCCGCGAGGCCATCGGCGGGCGTTTCCTGCACATGGAGTCGTTCATACCCCAGCTGCAGTGGCTCACCCGAAGCAGAGGGCTTCGGACATTGGAGTTTTGGGGTTTAATGTCGTATCCTGATTAGTGTGGACCCCTCCAATAATGAAAAGTTTTCAAAAACTAATTCAAGGGACAAAAATTTGGTTGCCCCCCTACAATAATGAAAAGTTTTTTCGGGCATGGGTTTCGGAAGAGGGAGAAAAAACTTACCTGAGCTGAGCTCATCTGAGCTTACCTGAGCTAAACCTTGAGGCCTGAGGTTGTCGGGCCCTGAAATCTTCATTCTCCAGACCAACCCCAAAACTAAGATTTCCTCATAAAATGCTTTTGTACCGAGGCCGGGCAATCAAATTTCCAAGGGGGTAGTCCAGCAGCTGCCCGAATGCCGTATTATATAAAACCTTTGCTCCCCCGGAATTATATTCTTTTGTGCGCTAGTTGGGTTTGGATCCAGAGGCCTAAGGGCTGAGGCTTCCTAAACCTTGAGGCCTGAGGTTGTCGGGCCCTGAAATCTTAAGCCTCCAGGCCAGCCCCAAAGCTAAGATTTCCTTATAAAATGATGTGTACCGAGGCCGGGCAATCAAATTTCAAAGGGGGTAGTCCAGCAGCTGCCCGAATGCCGTATAATAAAAAACGTTTGCTCCCCCGGAATTATTATTTTTGTTTCTTCGGGCTGGCTTGGTTGGGATAGATGGATCCCCTTTAAATTCATATGCAGACAACATTACCTAAGAGGAAGAGGAGAGGAAGAGGAGAGGAAGAGGAGAGGAAGAGGAGAGGAAGAGGAGAGGAAGAGGAGAGGAAGAGGAGAGGAAGAGGAGAGGAAGAGGAGAGGAAGAGGAGAGGGAGAGGAGAGGGAGAGGAGAGGGAAGAGGAGCGAAGAGGAAATGAAGAGGAGCCGGTGGGGGGGGCCCGGGGCCGAAAAATAGTTTGGGGGGCTCCCTTTTTTTGTGACACTATTGCGGGGGTGGATTTCGTTTGGGGGGGGGAAGGCCCGAGACCACATTAGGGTTTAGGGTTTAGGGTTTTTGGTTTCGGGGGTTCGGGTAGAGTTTGGGGATGGGGTTCGGGAGCGTTCTCACGGGGTCTTGGAGGGCTTGCTTGAGGTTCATCTAAAGCCCGCATACCCCTTCGATAGCGGGTGGGGGGGGGGGGGGGGTTGTTGTTGTTGTTGTGTTCCCCCCTCCCCTGTGTTGTTCCCTAAACCCTAAACCCTAAACCCTTAAACCCTAAACCCTAAGCCCTCAACCCTAAACCCAAACCCTCAACCCTCGTTGAACCCTAAATCCTAAACCCTAAACCCTAAACCCTAAACCCCCCCACCACCACACCACCCCCAACACTCCTTGCTTAGGCGGCACTTAAAAGACCTGGATGCTGGCCTACCCGACGCCAGCAAGGTCGCCGGCTTGGGGGTTGGGCCTCGGATGCGTTGAGGCTTCAGGGGTTAGAGTTTAGGGTTTCGGGTTTAGGGTTTAGGGTTTAGGGTTCCTGAGCCCCTTGCAGGCACTGGCCGGGGGTTGGCTGGACATCCGAAGGACGCCAAGCCCGAATATGCCTGGCTCAGAAGCCTTCGAGAAACTCAGGGCTTTGTAGGGATTAAGGGTTTAGGGTTTAGGGTTTAGGGTTTAGGGTTTAGGGTTTAGGGTTTAGGGTTAGGTTTAGGGTTTAGGGTTTAGGGTTTAGGGTTTAGGGTTTAGGGTTTAGGGTTTAGGGTTTAGGGTTTAGGGTTTAGGGTTTAGGGTTTAGGGTTTAGGGTTTAGGGTTTAGGGGATGATGCAGATTCGAGGACGATGTTCAAGGCGTGGTAGGGAGTCTTCCGGGTTTTCTCATTGCGGTTTGCGGGGTTGGATATAGTAGCTGGACCCTAAACCCTAAACCCCAAACCCTGAACCCGAAACCCTAAAAACCTGACCTGAACCCTAAACCCTAAACCCTAAACCCTAAATCCTAAACCCTAAACCCTAAACCCTAAACCCTAAACCCTAAACCCTAAACCCTAACTTGATTTTGACTCAGGGTTCCCTTGTAGGTAGTCTTTTTGGGGCTTCGGGTGTGGGTTTCCAAAAAACCCTAGTGTTGTGTTGTTTAGGGTTTAGGGTTTAGGGTTTAGGGTTTAGGGTTTAGGGTTCAGGGTTCAGGGTTTAGGGTTTAGGGTTTAGGGTTCAGCTCAGGGTTTAGGGTTTAGGGTTAGGGTTGAGGGTTTTCAAGGGATTCAGGCTCGTATGCCCAAGGTTGTACCCCTAAGAGTTCCCCCCAACATACTCCGAATATGGCCCTTATATTCCCTTAAGGATCCTTAACAAGGGACCCCCCCCCCCCCCACAACCCAGGGTACAACCTTAAGGGTCCAAGGTGGAACCCTAGAGGTTTAGGGTCCAGATCTGAATTGGGGCATGCTCCATTTCTGACATGTGGGACTTTCTGTTTTTTATTGGCGCTTGAGGGTTGGGGGTTTTGGGGAATTAGGGTTGAGGGTTTTGGGGGGGGGGGGGGGGGTTTAGGGTTTTTCGGGTTCTCGGGTTCTAGGGTTCTAGGGTTTTAGGGTTTTAGGGTTTTAGGGTTTTAGGATTTTAGGGATTAGGGTGAAGGGTTTGGGGGTCTTGGGTCTTGAGCCTCGAGGTTTTTGGTTGCGCCTCAAGGGTTTGTTGGGGTTTAGGGTTGGTTTTGTTCTGAAGCCCGAGCTTTCGGTTTATAAAGGGTTTTAGGGTCTATCTCTTAATACGGACTGGGTTCAGGGCTTGAGGTTCTGGGCAGGTAGCTAGTTCTTCGGTTAGTGTGTGGAGTCTAGGGTTAATAGGGTTTGGGGTTCAGCAAAAATGCCCTAAACCCTAAACCCTAAACCCTAAACCCTATAAACCCTAAAAACCCAAGAATTCTTCTAGCCTTTGTAGGGCTTGTTTGCACTTGGCTTTGGAAAACGGCGGGCCGGGGGCCCCGAACCCGAGACCTTCAAGCCCTCAACAGCTACGATGTTTAGGGTTTAGGGTTTAGGGTTTAGGGTTTAGGGTTTAGGGTTTAGGGTTTAGGGTTTAGGGTTTAGGGTTTAGGGTTAACACAAGTTTCCACACGCCCCCCCCCCCCCCCCCCCCCCCCCCCCAAAGCCGACGCGCCAACCTTCAGAAACCCAAAACCTACACGTTTGTGGGATATTGTTCTGATAGCCCTTCGAAGATTCTTATAGCTAACCTACCAAAAAAAGTAGACTGGTAAACCCTGAACCCTAAACCTTAAACCCTGAGGCCCCAAACCCCAAACCCCAAGCCCGAAACCCTAAACCCGAAACCCTAAGCCCTAAACCCGAAGCCCTAAACCCTAAACCCCTAAACCCCTAAACCCTAAACTCTAGTAGGTTCTTAAGGAAAACCCCTAAAAGTGCTGATTCCCAGGATGATGGAGGCCTTTGAGGAGGGATGGGCGCGCTCGACGGCAAGAAAAAAAATGAAAGGAGAGTTCGCGGATTGGGGTTTAGGGTTCAGGGTTCAAGGTTTAGGCTGCAGGGTTTAGGGTTTAGGGCTTTGTTTAGGGCTTCATTAGGGCCCAGGGCCAGGGGTCAATTGCACCTCAATATTGTATACTTGGGGGTCTTCAGAGTCCCTACATAGGAGGCAGTTGAAGGCCGAAAAACTCCCTGTCCAGGTACATGAACCTTTGTAAGGTTCCAGTTCTGGTTTAGGGTTCAGGGTTCAGGGCTCAGGGTTTAGGGTTTAGGGTTTAGGGTTTAGGGTTTAGGGTGTCCGAAGTGAAAAAGATTCTCGGAGCCTTGATATGATCATGCGGGTGGAGAGTTATTGGGATTCATTGGGCTATGGTGGGTTGTTAGGGTTGAGAAGGTCACTAGGTTATCAGAGTTATTTGGGTGATTAGGGTTCTGAGGGTGATCAGGGTTTTAGGTCATTGGAATCTTCGCGTCGGCTCATTGGCTTGGGGTTTCGGCCTTAGCCAACACCTTGCGGAACGCACCCGCCCGGCCGCCTCGGACGCTATAGCATGCCAGGTTAGGGCTGGACCACGACACAGGCGACACAGGCCTTTTAGCCCTAGGTCACAGAACGCAGGATCCGAAATAGCTACCGAGATGATGTGCTCAGGGTCCCCAGATGTTGCCACCAATTCTATTCAAATAGGCCAGCAAGGGCCTCTAAACAAATCCTAGACCTTGGGGCGCCGCACCCCCAAGCTCTGGCCCCAGCGCCTGCGTCAGCTAAGGCCTCCACGCAGTACGTAACCTCTTTAAGACCGAGCAAGATGGCAGCTTTACAAATATTTTCTTGGGGGCTCGTTTGAGTCGAAATCATGCAGCTCTATGCTACTCTAAGGCTGTATGGGCCAAAGCTCAAGAATACCTCAACCACTATTGGCTTCAGAACCCCACACTAAAAGCATATTCTTCCTTACAAGGGCAATAAAGGGATTACTCTTTTTTTTTGTTGGGGGAGGGTTCTTAAGCCGATAGTAGTCAACGGCCTCGCAGCACTGAGCTGCCACAGCTGCTGCCGCTGTCGCTTGCCAAGCGGGGCCCTGGTGGAGAAACAGGCCCAGCGGCGGACCAAAGTCAGTTAGGCTTCAGGGTTTAGGGCTTAGGGTTTAGGATTCAGGGTTTAGGGTTTAGGGTTCGGGGTTCGGGGTTTGGCTACTTAGGCGAGGCAGAGGAGGAGGGAGGGGAGGAGGGAGAGGAGGAGGGAGGGGAGGAGAGAGGGGGCCGACGGGTGGAAGCACAGAAGTGGCGGTGATCGGGGAAGGAATGTGTCCAAATGCAGAGCTTCGGTTCGAAGTTGCCAACTTGATGTGTGGTATAGTCACATGCCAGCCTAAACCCGAAACCCTAAACCTTAAACCCTAAACCCTAAACCCTAAACCCCATACTGCGAACCATGCCAAACCCGTCGTTATACTCTTCAATGGTCTTTCTCTGGTATTACGGTAAGCACTTTATGGCCCGGGCTCGGTCCCTATCACAAAGGAACGGTCCCAACCCAAACAGGGATGTACGCTTGAAAGTTACCGAGACCCTCCACCCACCGCCTATGAGACCCGAACTACCCGTTGTTCCTTAGTAGAGGGTGCAAGGAGGGTCTAGGCTACTCTCAACATCTTGGCCCCGGAACCTGTGAAGCTTGCCAGAGTCGACAGCGTCAGCTTGATGTAGTGGCGTAAATAGTTGTCACTACTATTCTTGGGCTTCTTATTGTTATTGAGTATGTCACAGTAGGATATGCACCCCAAAACCTTGTAATATTTATTCAGGCCACCATTTTACGGTAGGGGTTTTGAGGTCGCCGGGCTTCAGATTAAAGGTTGATGTCTGCGAGGTGCTTCTCTGGTGTGCTATGTAGAAGTCACCCATGCTCGACTAAACCTCGTCCTCGCACTGCTTTAGGTTGATGTTCGTGACACAGAAAAGCGTGCGTCGGCATTTTCATTGGGGATATTGGGGCCACGGCATCCACCTGCGCAGGCCATGTTAATGAACTTACTGTCGACGGCTTTGGGTGTTCCAATGCCCAAACCCATCCAATCCTCCCTCGCTATCAAGTTGCCACTCACAGCAGGGTGTTCAAGGCGAATGCACAGACAAGGCCCATTGGCGCCGTGGGGGCGCTGGGGTCTTATAGGGATCCCGAGGGGTGGGGCCTTTAAAGTGAGGCGTGAGCGTCCTGAGGGAGCTTCGACTACTTTGCTAGACTATGGCCCACGGCTTGCTTGCGTGATGCACGTGGCTTCTTCCGCTCAAGCTCTTACCCTTTCTCCGAGTGCGTCCTCCCAACATGAGAGCCACAGCGTTTCATGGCGACCTGCATGAACTGTTGGGCCGCTCCGGCTGGAGATGATACAGAACAAGGAGCGTCTTGCAGAACGGTTCCGTCCTTGATTGGTCTTGCAGATGCGGAGGAGCCTATGTGCACTTTCGATTGCGATGTAGACGTCATGGACAGGGAGCCGATGAAGGAGAATCCGGACATCTTTGGGGGAGAACTGCATGGGGCGCAGTTTGCCACAGAATCTCTCATGGTCCGGCGGGAGCCGCGCGGCCGACTTAGCCGACTGGAGCAAAATGCCCAACTGGCCTTTGACGACGAGATCGCACGCGCAGTCCCGTTGGCGCACACCTTGCGTTGGGTTGGATATCTTTGGCGACTAAACCCGAATAAGATGAGCCAGGACCAGCTGTTGAAGCTATGGCAGTATTCCAAGAAAGCAAGCTCTTTCGATGCATTTGTGTCTCACGCCTGGTCGACACCGGGATATCAGAAGTTGATTTCTTTGTTGCTCCGATTCTACTGGCACTATGCCGTAGTTGCTGCGATTGCGGCGAGTCTGGTGATCATGTTCATGTATAGGCTGGACATCTTGCCCATGACGTTGTGGTTTGTGTCACAGGATGCATTGTTCCCCAGAACCATTCCCTGTGGGCCGTGGGGGGCCCTGTTCGTGTTTGTGGTCTCGATCTCTGCCCTACTTTGCGCTCCTCTCCTGCCTTGTCCGGCCTTCGACATTTTCTACGATGTTACATGCATTCACCAAACGGATCCGGAGATGCGCGAACGAGGTATGTATGGCATCGGCGGCTACCTGACTGCTTCCAAAGAGCTGCGCGTTTTGTGGTCGTTGCCCTACTTGACTAGAGTCCAGGCCGCTCTTACACAAGATGTTTGTTTTTGCGTAGTAATTTTACTGGGAAGAGAAGATGGACAAGTGCCACTAGTGGTATAGAGCGCCTCCAGCAAGAACAGCCCAGGATTGTGGTGTATATTCGAGCTCGCTGGATTTCGCAGGGCCAACCCGAAAGGCAAGATCGTCTTCCAGCCGCTGCCGGTTGAGCGTAATTTCTGCGTACTCTGGATCTGCATGTACTTGACCTTCTGCATATACCATTTCATGAACACCGGCTCAGCCCGGAGATTGTTCGTCATCTCAACATTAATCGGCATTTGTGCCTTGATTCCCAGCATCCATGTAACTCGGAGAGGCTTCCAGGAGCAAGAGCGCAGCCTGCAGGACATGGCAAACTTTGACCTTGAGCTCGTTTCGTGTTCCAGTGGTTTCGACAAGCAGTTTATTGCCGTGGCGGTGAGCCAGTGGTATGGAAGCACCCATGCATTCACACAATATGTTCGCGGGCCTTTGCGGGATGAGCTGGTGCTAGCGGTCGCTGAGACACAGGCTCCCATGTCATACTGCTTGTTGGCATGTTCGCCGGGTGCCGGACTTCAGGCGGATATTCTGGGGGCTCTCTGGCTCGCCGGCGCCCCCGGCGAGATGATACTGGCCCACGTGCTAGGACAGGTGCTGTCGTCGTTCTTGCTTAACACGGCCCTATTGAAAATCCTGTTCATCCTCACGAGGCACTATGCTCGTCCCAGATTTGCAAGCCGCACCATGGACTACATGCAGACTGTTGGTGTATCGCTTCTCTTCCTCATGCTCGTTGCTGTTTCGTTCTTGAGAATTGTCGTGTACTATACTTTTGGAGTTCCTGGTGCTGTGGCCTTCCTCGTCACCATGATCATATTCATCGCCACGTTCTTTCGGGACTTGAAACAGTTATGGGACCAGCTTCGCAGAGGCGTTTTAGACCGGGGCCTTGAAGGCCAAAGTCCTTAAAGTCCAAATCCCCGGGTTTTTTCAGCACAAACGCGCCTGTTGAGTCACTGGCAGAGTTTCAAGATCCTTCACGATCTTTTTTCTGCCCGAGACTAACTAACCAATTATAGCTGTACTTATAACCCTACTTATAATACCCCTAAAGGGCCTTATAGGGGTTATCCCAATTATAAGTAAGGTTATAAGCCCAGTTATAATTGGTTAGTAAGTACCATGAACCTTCAAGTACAGATCTGTGCTGTTGGTCTTATTGCCATTGCTGGTGGTTTCACACACACGCCTGACAGCCTGTGCCGGAGCTCTCTGCTGTCGCAGGGATCCCCACTCATGTTTGGAGGACATACGCATGTCCAATTATAGCTGTACTTATAACCCTACTTATAATGCCCCTAAAGGGCGTTATAGGGGTTATCCCAATTATAAGTAAGGTTAGAAGCCCAGTTATAATTGGTTAGTAAGTACCATGAACCTTCAAGTACAGATCTGTGCTGTTGGTCTTATAGCCATTGCTGGTGGTTTCACACACACGCCTGACAGCCTGTGCCGGAGCTCTCTGCTGTCGCAGGGATCCCCACTCATGTTTGGAGGACATACGCATGTCCAATTATAGCTGTACTTATAACCCTACTTATAATGCCCCTAAAGGGCGTTATAGGGGTTATCCCAATTATAAGTAAGGTTAGAAGCCCAGTTATAATTGGTTAGTAAGTACCATGAACCTTCAAGTACAGATCTGTGCTGTTGGTCTTATTGCCATTGTTGGTGGTTTCGGCGATTACGCCTTCTTGTAGCTTGGCCCATGACTGCGCTGCCAGGGTCGACCAGTCGCGTTGAACAGGTAACAGTTCACAAAGTTATCGTCTTATAGTGCTATGTTTGATGAGCTTCTCGCAACAGATGGGCTGGGAAGTAAGTTCTGCGAGCTCAACACAGAGTGAGAGACTCGTCCAAAAGCGGTCTGCTTCCGTGAGACGAACAAGCCTGCATCTGCAGTTTCATTGTTTCAGGGAGCTTTCTGTCGACAGCCTATATGTAAACCAATGCCGAGGCGCTCTTCGCCTTACCCTGGAAGGCCCGAGCGTGGGCAAAGGAAGGTTTTTGTTTTTCACTCGCCGAGGTTTCCAGTTTAGGGACCATGGTCCTGGGTTAAGGAACCTAACGGCTCAACCTGGGTCAGGTTTGGGGTTCAGGAATTGAGCTTGATTTGGTGGCGTCGGGGAACATCCCAAGTTTGGGTATTAGGGTTTCAGAGTTTTTTTTGCAGTGTGGGTGTTTCGGTTTTGCGGGCGCTTTTGGGGGTTCCTAGACGATGAGCAAGCACGGCAGGCGAGTAGGTGTCACGGAGGGTCGGAATAATTACTAATAGTATCCCCTTCTGGTCTCTGTATAGCTAGATTATACTACCCGCCCCCCCCCCCCCCCCCCCCCCCCAAAAATCAAGCAAACCCTATTCTAATTCTCAAGGCCGCTTTATGCCGGCCCAGGGGTTCGTTGGCTGAGCCGGCGCTTAGGGTTTTAGGGTTCAGGGTTCATTACCGGGGGGGAGCTCAGCTCGGGAAGGTTTTTTTTTTTTTTGGGGGGGTAGGGGGGGGGTAGGGTTTATAGGGTTTAGGGTTTAGGGTTTAGGGGTTAGGGTTTAGGGTTTAGGGTTTAGGGTTTAGGGTTTAGGGTTTAGGGGTTAGGGTTTAGGGTTTAGGGTTTAGGGTTTGGGGTTTTGGGGGTCACTGTAAGCCTTCTTAGGGTTGAAGCCTCGCGCTTTCTTTCTTCGGTCAGGCCGATGGCTGAGCACCATGAAGAGGCGGGCTGCTGGGTTTAGGGTTTAGGGTTTAGGGTTTAGGGTTTAGGGTTTAGGGTTTAGGGTTTAGGGTTTAGGGTTTAGGGTTTAGGGTTTAGGGTTTAGGGTTTAGGGTTTAGGGTTTAGGGCTACTTTCCTTCCTTCCTGGTAGGTCCAGGTTGCTTGGAGGTTCATGGGTGCTTCTAGCCCCTTCAGGGTTTAGGGTTTAGGGTTTAGGGTTAGGGTTTAGGGGAACCCCAATGATGACTGTACTTATGACTTGCTCAGAGGACTTAGGGGGCTATCAGAAGTACAGTCATATATATATATATATATATAATATGTGGGGGTATAAGCAAGTGCAGAGTTATCGCCTGCGTATGAGCCCCTTAAGTACCCTAGCAGGGTTATACTTGGGTGATAGATACAGTCAGAATTGGGTTCATAAGTACCACGAACCTCCAAGTAGCTTCAAGTGTGCTTCGGGTTTAGATTTGGGGTGTGGCTCCAAAGCTAAACCCATCAGCTCGTCCCTGGAACTCAAGCAGCATACTCTGTGATCACACTAACCTCTCAACAGACGTCCCTAAACCCTAAACCCTAAAGTCCCAAGACTCGGAACCTTTTAACATCCAGGCCCCAAACTCTTGCCCTAAACTGCATGAATGTGGAGAGCTTATACAATATAACCCTGACCCCCGACGTTCTCCCTATAACGGACCCAAAGAGCCCAATACCCCTTTAATGAGGAATATGCCTTGAATGAAATAGGGAGCCTTAATATGATTAACGGTAGAATCCTCAGGGGGTATTGGGCTCACTACGGAACTCTTTACGACAACAAGCTTGAATTGATTCCGTTACCCGAATAAGCTATGGAAGGCGATTTGTAGGGTTTCGGGTCTAGGGTTTGGGGTTGAGGGCTAGGGTTTTGAGATTAGGGTTTTGGTTTTTAGGGCTAGTGTTTAGGGTTTCGGGTAGTTTTGGTCTCAAGGGTCGGGAAACGCAGAAGCGATCGCCCACAATCAGGGCCTTAAAGCCCCATGGCTTGGTGCAATGTGCCTCCGGGGTCGAGAGCTGAGAGTAGGGTTTAGGGTTTAGGGTTTAGGGTTTAGGGTTTAGGAGAGTTCAGGCTCGACCGGGCTTGCCGAAAATGAAGATGCTCCACCGCCTTGGCACTGCGGCTCCTCCTCCAGTCAGCGCGGCGCAGGAACGCTTTGCAGATCCGCCCGAGGGCCCGGGCGAGTCTTCCTATCCATAGCCTCCTTGGTGGCAGAGAAACATGCGAGCACTGCCTGCGTGCTGGCAGTGGCGAAAGCTACACCCCTCAACCCTAGGGTGTCGGGTTTTTAGAGTCCTGACCCTATGCTTTCTGAAACCCTAAACACGAAGCCCGCAGCCCGAAGCCCAGACGCCGCCAAAAGCCAAGCCACATGTTTGGAGAGAGGGGGGGGGGGGGGGCAAAAAAAGAGAAAGCCCAAAAACCCTAAACCCCTAAAACCCTAAACCCTAACACCCTAAACCCCCACACCCTAAAGCCTAAAACCCTAACCCTTAACCCCTAACCGGGTTTCTGAAAATAGGGGTACCTTGTTGGGGTCCCCTAAACCCCCTAAACCCTAAACCCTACACCCTAAACCTAAACCGCCAGGTCAGCGGGAGACACAAGGATGGCGACCTGGGCGCTATGCCCTCGTGTAAGGCTCCGACGGCAGAAGTCAGAGTCCCCCCCCCGCCCCCCCCTGCACCCCGCCCCCCCCCCACCCCGCCCCGCCCCACCGGGTTAATTAGGGTTTAGGGTTTAGGGTTCAGGGTTAAGGTTTCGGGTTAGGGTTGAGGGTTTTTAGGGTTTAGGTACCAGTCAGACACACACACACCACATGCAACTGCGCGCACACGCACCCTGCTGCCTGGCAGGATGATGACAAGCTCTCCTACAGACGCTCCGCTTGCTGGGCAGGATCGTTCGGTGGGGCGCTTGGACAATTGGTCGGGGCGCTCATAATTAGAAACATTCGCTACATCGCGTAAGGGTGCCTGGTATTAAGTTACACCTGAAACCCAACAACGTTCTTGTATGTGGGCAGGGAATTTTGGGGGAGGGGGAGGAGGGATGCCTGAAGCCTAAAGTTTTTTGCACCCTAATTCCCTGAGCCCTAAGCCCAGCCCCCCTTGTAGACTCGCAGCTTGCGGAGGAGCAGGAGGAGGAGGGGGGATGAGGGTGTAGGGTTTAAGTTTTTTTTTGGGTGGTTGTCAAAAATTATCCTAGCATAATACGGCACCGATATTTACGGTACAGTACCCCAAAGCGGATCATAATTTTGACAACCACCCATTTGGGGCTCTATATTGGGGTCCGCTCATTCCGGAACCCCCCCCCCCCCCACATCTCGACAAGATGTTCAGGCGTCCACCATGCACCCGCGTTGACCCTTTCGACCCTGTCACCCCGGTATTCCCGACCCTAAACCCTAAACCCTAATCCCGAAACCCTAAACCCTAAACCTTGAACCTCAAACAAGCCAGAGACCCCCAGGTCCTTTTTAAGCACAGGCTAGACCTCGATCCCTGAACCTTCCCCACCCCAAGCCTTGCAACAAGCCAACGGATGGCACCCGAACAGCCCGAAAAAAAACCTTTAACGCCTCATGGGTTCAGGGTTGAGGTTGGGTTCAGGGTTCAGGGTTTAGGGTTTAGGGTTCAGGGCCCTGACGAGACTACGAGGCAAAGCCTTCCTAGCCCGAGACTTGTCGAACAACGAACTGGCCACTTGGCCGGGCGCAAGGGGGGGGAGGGGGGCGGGGGGGGTGGCTCGAGGGCCCGAAACCCTAAACCCGCAGCCCTAAACCCTAAGCCAAAAACCAAGGTCCCTTGGGTTAGAGAAATGTGGTATACAAGGGGTATATCAGGGTTCCCAAATGAAAGGCCCGGTATGAAGGGAGCATGTAGCTACCCCGAAGTGCTCTAGGCTGTACGGGGCCTTCCAGTGGGTAGAGTTCCTTGTTAGGCGACTTGGGGGTTTTTCGAAAGTGGGGGCACCCTTCGTGGGGGTCCCTTTAAGGGGACTCTTATCCTATTTGGGCCAGAAAAGGGGTCCCCCTATTCTGGGGAGGTTCTTAAGGGAGGGGGGTTCCGGGGGCGGGGGTATGTAACCCCAAGGTTCCCTCATGCTCCCCACTACTCCCTAAGGCTCCCGAAGCTTCCCAAAGGTTCTCTAGGTGCCAACCCCTCGTAAACCCTAAACCCTAAACCCTAAACCCTAAACCCTAAACCCTCTACCCTCTACCCTCTAAACCCTAAACCCTATAAACCCTAAACCCTAAACACAAGCAGAATCAGCATCTCTGCGCTGTTTCTCCCCGTCAGCTCTTCAGCAGCTCGGGGTTCCCAAGCGGTACATTGACTGCGGACTGAGCGCACTTAGGGATGTATGGCCTTAGGGTTTAGGGTTTAGGGTTTAGGGTTTAGGGTTTAGGGTTTAGGGTTTAGGGTTTAGGGTTTAGGGTTTATTAAGGCCCCTATATGAGGGATGTAGGGACTCTGGGTTGAGGGATGTAGGGCTTTCGGTCCGTCTGAAATCCAGAGGCTATAAGACTCGTACCCCTAAGGTTCTTCCCCTAGCTAGAGGTTTACCTTAATATACTCTTAATATTGCCCTTGTATTCCCTTGGGGCATGTTTTGAAACGGGTGCCCGAACCCATGGGTGCCAACTTAGCAGGTGCAGGTTTGACATAATTTTGATTTGTTTATTGCCCTTAATCCCTTTAAACATCCTGAGAAAGCCATGCAAGTTTCGTGTTTTACAGGGCCTCCAAATCTATCCCAGTTAGGGGTGTGAGGTAGAGCCCCTTGATGTAAGGGGTAAAAGGAGGGACCCCTAGAAGGGACCCTGAATCTTATTCCCCTATATAAACCCTATATACATATATATATATATATACCTCAAGAAGTCCCTAAAGACCGAAGTCGCCCCGGAAGAAACCCCTAAACAACCCCTAAGGTCCCTTGTCACTAGTAATTGTCTAAGAACACCCTTAAAAAAACAAGCATGTTCTTCCTTATAAGGGTAGGATAGGGATTTTTTGTTTTTTGTTTATTCTTTTGGGGTTCTTAAGCAAACAGTAGATCAGGGTCCCTCCTTTAGTCCCTTGATGAAGTCTCCGCCCAGGTCGTGATGAAGCAGGTTCGAGTCGAGAAGATGGATGCCAAGGCAGTATAAGAAATACAGGGGTCGGGGGTTTAGGGTTTAGGGTTTAGGGTTTAGGGTTTAGGGTTAAGGGTTCAGGGTTCAGGGTTCAGGGTTTCGGGTACACCGAATAGTAGAATTCCCTTAAAAAAGAACCCAACAGGGTTCCTCGAATTTCGTAAACTATATATATATATATATATATGTTAGCATCCCTTCTTTTCGTAAACTCCCGAAAGAGTAATACAGGTGTCGGAACCGTTACTAGTAGTATTCCTTTGTGGCCCCCGTACATGTATACAATTATCCCCCCTGCCAACATCCTATTCCAATTTTTGAGGCCCCCCCATAGTAGGATCTCTGCAATGAACGTCTGAATCCCAAGCCCCTCCCCCTCCCTCCCTACTGCCCACTTTTTCGCATTCCCCCCAAAACCACAACGTAACTTACCATAAGTGGGACTCTTTGATTTGCGGGAGATTTGAACAGTAGGAGGAGGGCAGGGGATTTGGGGTAGCTCACCCTAAACCCTAAACCCTAAAGAGCTTCCTTTTTTGGTTACAAAAAGTCTCAAGGCTGCCCCCGAAGCCGGTAGGGCTTCGGGTCTCTGCAGCGTTTTAAGGGTACAACCTCTATGAAGATTCCGATTCACAGCCCTGAAGCGCCCAAAACCCAGACATGATATCCCTAAACCCTAAGCCCTAAACCCTAAGCCCTAAGCCCTAAAGCCTAAACCCTAAACTTCCGTAGCCATTTTGGCTCAAGCCTGCAACTTTAGTGTTCGTGGAATGGCCGGCGCCTTATAAGTCTGTTCTGATTGCAATCGCTGGGCAAGCACTTCCGGAGCACCTATCTGTGGTCTCTGTCGGGTGGTCCGAGCTGTTCGATTATTGCCTTTTGATTCTCGGGTCACATCGAGCAATTACGATCTTGCACATTCGATTTTGGAAAGAAGTTTGGGTGAAGTGAACTCGTGGTTATCGGTTCCTCTGACTGGTGTTCCTGATTCTCACGAACTGGTTGTCGAAACTCCTGATTCGGGAGCTTTGCAACTAGACAGTGGATCATCCAGCCAGGGGGCCAACAAGGAAAAAAGGAAGGAGCGTGATCGTGATCGCCGAGAGCAGCGGAGAGAGGAGAAGAGAAGACCTCCTACCCCGCCTCGACCTGTGCGGAGGCCAGCTTCAGTTGACCAGCGCGCCTCCCCTGCAGGTTCGTCTGGTCATTTTCCAGAAAAGGAAGCTTTCAGCTGGGAAAGGCAGCGCAAGCCCAAAAACAAAGGGCGTAAGCATCGAGAGCGTGGAATCAACTATCGAAAGCAGTGGAAGCTGAGGGATCTGGAAGCACGTGAGCCGGATGGCCCCGAGGAGGCGGCCTGCAGCGGCGAAAGCTGCTCCAAGGAGAGCAAGAGGGCTCAGGCCAAAGGCTGTGCCGAAACGAAAGGCGAAGGCCAGACCAACACCCAACAATCGCCGCAAAGGGGAAGAGCATCATCCTCCACGTAAAGATACACCATGGAAGCTAGTTCAAGATTTTGCTTTTCAGGTGGGACATCAGGTACACTTGAAAGGGAAGTACAAGGGAGATGCAGCGGAGTGTGTAGGGGAGGTCGAGAGCTTAGTCGAGGACCAAGAGGGTCAGTGGATCAAGTTGGATCTGACGGGGACTCCTCATGTGGGGTTGCAAGAGTGGCGGAAGTCCTGCCAAGACGCGTTTTATGCGAATCGGGCACCTCTCCTGAAATCATTAGATGCGGGAGTGGACGGGTTGTTTTGCGCGCGCGAGGTGCGAGAGGTAGATCCCCTCTTAGAGTGGAAGTCCAACCTGACCGAGCTGAGGCGGGACCTGGAAGCTCTCCCCGGGTTGGAAGCTGTCGCCAGAGATTTGGGCTATGGAGTAACGGGAGGTGTGGGGAATTTACTGCCGCCGCCTCCTGCTCAGAGGGAAGAGGGAGAGTCTGCAAAAAAGCCGAGGAAGCTACGCGGCAAGGAGCGCGTTCGCCAGATGGTTCAGCAGAGCACGTGGTCGTGGGCCGGTTCATCCCTAGACCCCAAATTCAAGAGGCCCAAGGTGGGGTTGAAAAGGAAGAGAGAGCAGAGCAGCAGTTCCTCCAGCGTCAGTCACAGTGGGAGCGGGGAGAGGTCAGAGCAGGAGGATCTGTTTCCAGAGGAGTCTCAGACGAAACACATCGCTCGAAAATGCCCAGGACTTCTCTCAAGATTTGCGATCAAGGAGGCAAAGAAGCGACTCCTAACCCAGGTAGGGGAGGAAGCTGGGAACCATGCTCCAAGTCCAGTTTTCGTCCGTTATTACCGACAGGTCTTCGCGCATTCGGGAGCGTCGACTCCTATGAAGCGAGAGTATTTGACTCTTGCCACATGTCTCGACTCTATCATCGAGGGCAACATCTTGAAGTGCCTGGATGTGGGAGTTCAGAGGTTGAAAGCGGTCGAGCAAATGAGTCTGGGAGCCGCGGCGCAATTGGCAAATCGTCTCGAGTTAATCCCGCCAGAAACCTCGGTTCTAGCATCCCTAGAAGAGAGTCGCGGGGCTGCGCAAGAACACCGCCGAGAAGAGAAAATCAGAGGCTCTTGGAAGGGCAAAGGAAAGTGGGAGAGCAATTGGAATCGCCAGGTGTTGGAGGAGCAAGCCTTCAAATGGGAGAAAGGATCCAAGAGTGCCAAGGGAAAGGATCCAAAGGGCAAACCGGGAGGCAAAGGTCGCCCCTGGAAAGGTCAACCAGCCCCGGCGAGCGAAGTAATTCCAGTCAAGGAGTGATTAGTGTGGGGTCCACCTCCGAATCTGTTGTTTCAGTGTCTCCTCCTGAAGTGCGGGAGGAGCCGTGTTCTTCCCTGCCATCTGATCTGGTTGGTCATGTCGGGCAGCTAGGTGTACTGCTTGGAAAGTGGCTTGATGTCAACTCACATTTGCGAGTGGGATATGAGCAATCTGTTCCAAGCAAGCATCCTTCCACGGCAGAGGTCTTCCCTTTGCCTATGCTTCCGGGCGGTCTGCCTCCCGAGGAGCATATTTGGCTTCAAGCTGCGATCCGAGCATTAAACTGGCTAGCCTGCGGGGATTTGACTTTAGGTGAAGCTCCAGCTAGCAGGGTTCAAGAGTCTTTGCTGACGGTCCTGCGTGAGTCGTTCAGGGTCGAGCGTCTGGGCTCTCACGTGTTCGATTCCATTCCCATGGAAGACTACTGGAAGTCTAAAGGTGTCAACGGTTATGGTGAAGAGGTGCATAGTGCGTTGCCGTTCAACTGGAGCAACATTGAACACAGCCTCCCTAAACGAGAGCAGGCTGGTGCTCTTGATGGGGTGGACGTTGCATCCGCTGGGATCAAAGATTTCTTAAGTGACCCTTGCAAATACCTGAAACCTTCTCCATCCCGAACCTGGATGAAGCCCCCGAGGGTCATGGTTCGACCCGAGGACTGGGGGGCCGTCGCTGAGGGTTTGGTAGAGCGTAGGATTTGCGAAGTCATTCCTTTGAGTGAGGTCATCCGTGTTGAGGGAAAGCCCATCCTCGGCGGCCTCTTCGGCGTGCCAAAAAATGAGGAGATCGGAGGAGTACCGGTGCTGCGTTTAATCATGGATTTGCGGCCCATCAACCAGTTGTTTGAGTCCATTGCAGGTGACCTCCACACGTTGCCAATGCTTAGTCAACTCTTTCCTCTCGAGATTTTTCCTAACGAGGATGTTTTAGTTAGCTCGGAAGACATCAAGGCGATGTTTTATATTGTGGGCCTTCCAAGCGAGTGGAGACCTCTCCTAGCCTTCGGGAGAGAAGTCCCCAAACATTTGCGACCTGCAGGGGTCAATGAGCCCTGTGTGCTGACAAGTCGAGTACTGCCGATGGGATTCATCAATTCTGTGTCGGTAGCCCAGAGCCTCCATCGTAGCATTGTCAATCGTGCGGTGGATGAATTGGGAATCAGCCGTGACAAAGAAATCAGGCGAGATCAGTCGCTCCCAATTTCAGCACTGTCGTACCGTGTCTATCTGGACAATTTCGACTCGCTGGTGAGGACCAATCGGGAGGCAGCGAGTCTCCTTGAAGGTTCCTTGAGCCCTTTGGCAGCAGAACTCAGGCAGGTGTATGGCAAACTTGATGTTCCAGTGAACGAGAAGAAATCCAATCGCAGCGCGCTTCAGGGTGAAATGCAAGGAGGTTGGATTGACGGGCGTGAAGGGACCATCTGTCCTAAGCCTGACAAATTTGCCCGGTACCTGAGGGCGTGTTGGTATTTGCTACAAAGCAAAACGTCCAACCTCAAGCGAATTCAAGTGGTTGCCGGAGGGCTTGTTTATCTGTTCAGCTACCGTCGCTGTCTAATGAGTTGCCTAAACGAGGTTTGGCAGTTCATTTCATCTTTCGAAGGAAATGTCAGTGTATGGAAAGCTATCCCCGATGTCGTCAAGAAGGAGTTGTTCTGTTGTGCAGCTTTAGCCCCGTTGTCGTACATGGACTTGAGGCTCCCTTTTGATGCACTCGTCAGCGCCAGCGATGCCAGTGAAACTGGTGGAGGCCTTTCGGTGTCCACAGGTGTCACTGACATGGGGGTTCAAGCAGCGGGGAAGCTCGTGAGGGGCTCGTATGGCCTTGCGTGTGATGACGTGCAACTTCTGGTCATCTCTCTGTTTGATGGGATTGCAGCGTGCCGAGTTGCTTTGGACGTCTTGGGGGCCCAGGTAGGTGCCTACGTTGCGGTGGAGGCGGACCCGTGCGCCAAGCGGGTTGTGGAGAGCGCCTTCGCTTCAGTTGAGTTCGTCAACACAGTTGATGAGGTAACCGATGAAATAGTACTAAGCTGGGCACGAAGGTTTTCGAGGGTTGGTGTCGTCCTGATTTCGGGAGGCCCCCCTTGCCAAGGAGGTTCAGGGTTAGGTGCATCCAAAAGAGGTTCAGAGTCTGCTTCAAACTGCAGGCTTCATCAAGAGGTTCCTCGAATACGGGATCTGGCAGAGAAACATTTCAGTTGGGCAAAGGTTTTCTTCCTCATGGAAAGCGTGTCGTCTATGTCAGATGGGGATCTGGCGTCTGTGACGCGTTCAGCAGGGATCCTGCCTTATGAGTTGGACGCATGTGGCCTCACACCTTGTCGCAGGAATCGGCTGTTTTGGTTCAATTGGCAGGTTTCAAGTGAACCAGGGGTAGAGATCATTAGGCCTTCAACCTCTGAGCCCACTGATTACGGGAGAATTGCTTTTCTCCTGCCAGTCCCTCCTGACCCTTACCTGACGCCTGGTTGGTCACTTGCGGGAGGTATCGGTCAAAAAGTTCCAGCTTTCGTGGCGGCGCAGCCGAAGGCGCAACCGGGTTTGCGTCCTGCAGGGATCGATTCTTGCACTGAACGTGATCTTGCTTATTGGGAAGCTGATAAGTTTAGGTTTGCCCCATACCAGTACAAGTATCAGCATGGCCTGGTTCATCTCAAGCATGGTTGGAGGTTGGCTAATGCTTACGAGAGGGAAGCTATGCTGGGTTTCCCTCTTGGCTACACAGTAGAGTGTTGGCCAAAATCAGACCGCAAACGTGATCCTGCAAAGCATGACAACTATCGTTTGAGTTTGCTAGGGAACTCGAGCTCGGTTCCTGTTATAGCATATCTTTTGTTGCATTTGTTGGCTCCACTCAAACTCTGTGAAGATCAGACGGTCAACCAAATCCAGAAAAACTGCCAGCCAGGACAAAGCAAACATCTGAATAGCTTTTTGACCCGTCCACCCTGGACAGCGGCGCGTCAAGGCAAAGCAGATGGCAATGATGCCATGTTGGTGCGCAAATTGTCTTCCCTCATGTCAACGCGAGGGACTGATGTGTTGTTGCAGGCTGGAACTGAACCAGCGCGTTCCTATGACCGTTTGCGCACGTCCGTTCCTGCGCGCCTGTGGAAATGGGCTACAGCTTGCTCTTGGAAATGGAAGAAGGGCGGGTCAGGAGAAGTTGAACATATAAACCGACTCGAATTGCGTGCAGTGTTGACGTCCGTGAAATGGCGCATCCTAAAGGCAAAGCAAACGCGAACGCGCTACCTTCATCTGGTGGACAGCTTAGTGTCGCTTCACGTCATCAACAAAGGCCGCAGTTCCAGCCGGAAGTTGAGGACAATCCTGAAAAAGATCAGTGCATGGCTGTTGTTGTCTGCTAACGCTTGCGTTCTCGGTTATGTCGACACTGGGCAAAATCCCGCGGATGCGCCCTCGCGGCGCGGACAAAAGCGCAAATGGGGAAGCGGGAGGTAGTCGAAGGCAGAAACCGAAACGCAAGAAAAGTTCGCAGACAACAGCTAGGGAAATTGAAAGATTTGATTGTTCAACCTCGAACCCGAGTCCGGTATGAGCATGCCATGCAGCGTTTCTTTGAGTTTTTGAGGTGGAACAAAATTGCATTGCCGTCTCGATGGGATGAGGCTGACAGTGTAGCTTCCTCATATGTTGAGGAGTTGTGGGAAGAAGGGGACTCACGTTCCCTCGCTCAAGACACCATCTCAGCCTTACAGCATTTCGAGCCTCAGCTTAAACGTAAGATGTTGCGTAGCTGGCGCTTGTTAAAGGCTTGGCAGAAGCATGAAATACCAACCAGGGCACCGCCCTTTACCCTAACAACGTTGTCTGTGCTGGCAGGCTGGTTGCAGACAAGATGTGCTGAGCTCGCTCTTGCAGTATGTGTGGGGTTTCATGCACTCCTGAGATCGGGAGAGTTGTGCCAACTACGCAATAGAAACATCATATGTTCTGAAGATCTTGTCATACTGCAACTCGGACAGACGAAGATGGCCGTGCGAAATGCTGGCGTGGAGAGTGCTTCCTTCAGACATCAAAAAATTTCCATCATGTTGCGTGCTTGGAAGGCTGTCAATTCCGATGAAGCTTTGTTGGTGAACATGTCACCCTCTTTGTTCCGCCAGTGGTTCTCGAGAGGGTTATCAGAAACGGGTCTCATGAGCTTGCCCTACAAACCATATAGCCTTCGTAGGGGAGGAGCGACGCAAGTGTTCTTGGAAACGCAGTCGTATGCAGCTGTGTGTCAGCGAGGGCGATGGGCGTCGGAACGCACGTCCCGGATCTATATCCAAGATTCCATTTCTTTGCTCACTGATATTCCTAAAGCGCTCACCTCCGTGCAGCGAGAGTTTTATGACTCTTGGAATGAACTTTTGGGCAGGCTTGAGCCTCCCAGCTCAAGAGCTGGAAGAAGCAGGGGTCGTGGAAGAGGAAAGTAGTGGAAAGCATTTTTTGCTGAGACTTCTCACGCGTCGCGGTGGAAGTGCCCGTGATGCTCATGATCGTCTCCCACCTGCAGCGAAAAGCAGCAGCTATCCTCATCTTCGATTGGGCCCAATTGTACAGATGTGTAAACATCCTCTTTATGCTACAACACGATGCTTGCTTGGAAAAGCGAAACATGAGAGAAGGAGATTCCTTGAAGAAGCGTACCGTGATTTAGGAATCACACCTCGTAATGTTTCGGCTCATTAGCCTGCAACTTTAGCCCACCCTCCCACCCAGGAAAGAGGAAAGTAGTGGAAAGCATTTTTTGCTGAGACTTCTCACGCGTCGCGGTGGAAGTGCCCGTGATGCTCATGATCGTCTCCCACCTGCAGCGAAAAGCAGCAGCTATCCTCATCTTCGATTGGGCCCAATTGTACAGATGTGTAAACATCCTCTTTATGCTACAACACGATGCTTGCTTGGAAAAGCGAAACATGAGAGAAGGAGATTCCTAAACTTAGGGTTTAGGGTTTAGGGCTTGTGCTGTGGGTTGAGGGGTGAAGGTTCCGCCTGTGTTTGGCACCCTGCCACGAGCCAGGGCTCTCGCGAGACTCCGGAGCCCCTAAGCCCTAAACCCGAAACCCTAAACCCTAAACCCTAAACCCTAAACCCCTGTTTCGCTGAGGACCCATATGGGTATGTCCCAAACTCGGGGTATCCTATTATTATTATTATTATTATTTATTTTTTTTTTGGTGGTGGGGGGGGGGGGGCGGGTGGTGCGGGGGGGGGGGGGGGGGGGTGGGGGGGGTGCGGCGGGGGGGGGGGGGGGGGGGGGCGGGGGGCGTGTTCTGGACATGGCAAAGTTTGCTTGAGCCTCCCTAAGCCCCTAAACCCCAAAACCCAAAACCCTAAACCCTAACTAAACCCTAAACCTCAAAAGTACTCAGGCTCGCGACACGGCTGTGCGCGAGGCCGTGGCCCTGAGACGCAGCTGGGCTCAACCCTAATTCTGGGACAGGGTTCAGGGTTCAGGGTTTGGGGTTTAGGATTTAGGGTTTAGGGTTACCCCCCAAAGCCCCAAACAGATCTCTACAGATTGAAGGAGGTCCTCTGGCCGATGAGTTTTGGATCGAACTGGGCCGTGAGATGGGTTTAGGGTTTCGGGTTTAGGGTTTGGGGTTTAGGGTTTAGGGTTTAGGGCAAGAGCCCGCGTGGTAAGTAGTTGGCAAAGTAGTTACATGCTCGGCCATGAACCATGGCTGTGCACTTCGACCTTTCACTTCAGGGTTCTCTCATCCAGATTTTTTTGGGGTTTAGGGTTTAGGGTTTAGGGTTTAGGGTTTAGGGTTTAGGGTTTAGGGTGTTGGCCCCACATCTCTCAGAGTTGTGCTTGGTGTTTGGCCGTGTATGGCGACCTGAAGGTTCAGGCTTCCCTGAAGGTTCAGGGCCCAATTTGTTCTAAGGTTAGTTTCATGGACCCATGTAGGGTTCAGGGTTCAGGGTTTGGGGTTTGGGGTTTAGGGTTTAGGGTTTAGGGTTGGACCAACCATGTAACCCTAAACCCTAAACCCTAAACCCTCAGAGCTGTTCCTCAAGAAGAAGCAGAGCACCTCAGGCGTCCGCCATCCAAACGTAGTGCGCTTCCGGCAAGTCTTCGTCCGTTCTGGCTGGCTCTGCCTCTCGCCAGCATCATACCCTAAGCCCTAAACCCTAAACCCTAAACCCTAAACCCTAAACCCTAAACCCTAAACCCTAAACCCTAAACCCTACACCCTAAACCCTAAACCCTAAAGCCCGTTTATCACGAGACTCCCGAAGCCCCCCCCCCCCCCCCCCTCTTTCTCGATGAGCAGCCCTGCAACAGCGAAAGCCCTAAGCTGGTTTAGGTGAGGGGTTTAGGGGTTTGGGGGGTTGAGGGGTTTAGGGTTTAGGGCTAGACTCATCCCAGGCCAAGGCAAGACTCCTTATAGTGCACCTCCTTTCAGGTAGCCGCCTTGTTTGCGAAGTCCACGAAATCCTAAACCTCACGAGCCCTGAACTAAACCCCTAAACCCCTAAACCCCTAAACCCCTAAACCCCTAATCCCTAAACCCTAAACCCTAAACCCTAAACCCTAATCCCTAAACCCTAAACCCTCGCTCCTGCCTGTGAACCTCACAAGCTGCAAGGTTTAGTCATGGACTTTGCAGATGGCGGTGACCTGTGTGCCGCCGTGAAGGCAGGGCGTGTGTAGTTGTAGGGTCTAGGGTTTAGGGTTTAGGGTTTAGGGTTTAGGGTTTAGGGTTTAGGGATTAGGGTTTGGGGTTTAGGGATTAGGGTTGTATGTACGGGGTTTTGGAGGACCCTGAGCCCGAAACCCGAAGCCCTAAAGCCAAAACCTAAACCCAGACAAAACCCCTAAACCCCACACCATAGAACTGTAAGCTTGGGACCCCCAAAACCCTACCCCCCCCCCCCCCCCCCCCCCGCCCCATTTCAAACAACCAGACCCTGAATGCCCTAATTCCCTAAACCCCCAAACCCAAACCCTAAAACCCTCCACCGTAAAAAAACCCCAAGCCCCAAACCCTAACCCCCCCCCCCCCCCGCCCCCACCTCCGCCTGTTTTTTCCGCCGCCCCCCCACACCCCCCCCCGCCCCCCCCCCCCCACCCCCCCCCACCGCCGCCCCCCCACCCCCCCCCCCCCCCCCCCCCCAGCAAACCCCGACAAACCCTAGGCCTAAACCCTAAACCTCAACCCCAAACCCTAAACCCCAAACCCCAAACCCTAAACCCTAAACCCGAAACCCCCCTAAATCCCAAGATCTGCAGGAGCGGGCCAAGTCGGGTGCTCCATTCGAGGAGTCGGCGGTCCTGGAGTGCTTCTCGCAGGCCAGGGGCTTGGGAGGGTTTAGGGTTTAGGGTTTAGGGTTTAGGGCGTAGGGCTTAGGGGTTTGTGTTTAGGGCTTTGGGCTTTGGGTTTTGGGTTTAGGGTTTAGGGTTTGGGGGGCTTCGGGTTCAGGGTTTAGGGTTTATACAAATGATATAGGGTTTGGGTCCCAATAACGTTTTGAGCGAAAGTTTTGAGCGAGACGTGTTTTTTGGAAGGGGGGGGGGGGGGGGGGTTGGGGGGGTTGGGACTGGACGGAAGCTGCGGGGGCCGGGGGGCGTTGGGGGTGGAGGGGGGGCGAGCGGGGGAGCTTGGAGGGGAACTGGACGGAAGGTTGAGGCCTGCCAGAGCCTTTTTGTGGGCTTCGGACCCTAAACCCTAAACATCCCTAAACCCTAAACCCTAAACCCTAAACCCTCAACCCTAAACCCTAAACCCGAAACCCTTTTCGAAAGTTTTGTGCGAAAGGCTTGCGCGAAAGCTTTGAGCGAACTTTTGGAGCGAAGATGTTGGGCGAACGTGTTGTGCGAAAGTGTTTAGCGAAAGTTCCGTGCGACAGTTTTGTTTCGGCATTTAGATTTAGTTTTGCGGGAGCAGGGCCTTTCCTCCGGGCCCACATACAATTTCTATGTTTTTTGTCTTGAGGGTTTAGGGCTTGGGATTTAGCCGAAACACTAAACCCTAAACCCTAGACCCTAAACCCTAAACCCTAAACCCTAACCCCTAAACCCTAAACCCTAAACCCTAAACCCTAAACCCTAAACCCTAAACCCTAAACCCTAAACCCTAAACCCTAAACACTAAAACCCTAAACCCTAAACCCTAAACCCTAAACCCTAAACCCTAAACCCTAAACCCTAAACCCTAAACCCTAAACCCTAAACCCTAAACCCTAAACCCTAAACCCTAAACCCAAACCCTAAACCCCGAAACCCCCTTACGGGCGAGAGGTGGAGTCTTTTCCCTTTCAGCACCCTGAGGTCGCGGATGCCGTCCGCTTCGTCCACGCGCAGCCGCTTGTCGGAGTGGAGTGGGGTTTAGGGTTTAGGGTTTAGGGTTTAGGGTTTAGGGTTTAGGGTTTAGGGTTTAGGGTGTAGGGTTTAGGGTGTAGGCTTATAGGGCCCAAATAGCTTAAGGTTTGGAGTTTAGGGTAGTTAA